TGTGCTTTCTTAAAAAAAATCAAGATTAGGCACACAATAGCTTAGTGAAGTATAAAAACCAAGCCATCTACTCTTGCCTCTAATGAGACTTGAAAACTAGTTTTAGACTTTAATCTGAAGAGAAAAGTGGAATAGCTCTAAAATAGCCTTGTTCAGTTGCTTCTGATTCTTCATGAGCTGACAACAGATCAGCAGAATTTTATAACCCAAAGGGCTTCTCTGAGATCTCCTATTGGTGTTATCAACGATAATATCTAGTCATCTTGTACTCTTTGGGTTTCTTTTTAGTTTGCCTTTGATTTTCCCACACATTAGGATCTACTCCAATAACTTTTGCCTTGCTTTCATATGGCCAGATATTTTAGGTTTAGCTTTATTATTCCTGTATCCAAAACCAGTCTGATTTCACCCCTTTTTGAATGAGTTCTTTTTTGAATCTAAGATACTCTCAACTGTTGTCTCTGGCGCTACAGTCTAAAAGAGATTTTCAATCATCCAGGTCATGGTTGCTCCGAAGGTGCTTTTTCAAAAGGCAAGGATGATAACCGCAAGGAATATAAATCCTTCCATTACCCCAACATTTAATGAAAATTGAAGAAGCTTCTTAGAGAAGCAAAACATTTTCAAGGAAAAACAAAGAAAGTCCAGTTGCCTTTTGGGATAATTCAAAGACACCTATTTTTCTGTACTCAGCATTTCTGACGTCCAGTATTCAGAGTCATTTGTTACAACTGGCAAAGGCACGAACTTAACAATATACTTCTTGTTCTCATTGTGATGTCTTCAATATTTTGTCTAGATCTGTCATAGTAACAAACACCACTGTATTTCATGGCTACAATTACCATCTCTGTGAATTTTTGAGCCTAGAAAGATGAAACTTGTCCATTTTTAAATTTGTTCCACCTTTAAACATCAGGTAAGGTTGACACTACTTATCACAATGTTAGGGTTTTTAATTTTAGGTAGCAAAGCATCTCAACAGAGCTTTTGTCTTCATCTGCTTCCTTTCTACATGTGTGGCTATTTTTCTTCTTTAATAATGTCACAACTTTCAACCCATAATTCCTCAGGCAGTCAAATCTAATCTTCTTCTTCTTCTTCTTTTTCTTCAGCGTTTGTCTCGCGCTCGGGCGAGGTCCGCTAATGTCCTTGAGTACTGCTTCCACGCCTCTCTGTCTGCCACGTGTGTCGGGTCTGCCTTCGCGATCTCTAGATCGGCCTTGATCGTGTCCATCCAGCGTTGTTTAGGTCTACCACGCGGTCTCGCTCCTCCGACAGTCACCTTCATTACAGATTTGATGATGGATTCTTCCTTGGCGCGGCTCACGTGGCCGAACCATCGTAGCCGGGACTGCCTCATGACCGTGGGGATGGGCACGACGTTGAACCGTCTACGCACTTCTTCGTTCCTGACGCGATCGAGTAGGGTGAGGCCTACCGACCATCGGAGCATTCGCATCTCCATTATCTGGAGTCTGCTTTCGACTTCTTTGGTCGTCGGCCAGCACTCTGCGCCGTATATGGCCACGGGGCGCACCACAGAGTTATAGATTTTCGCCTTCAGGCGCATCGGCATCTTCTTGTCACAGAGGACGCCCGTGACGGACTTCCATTTGCCCCACGCTGCATTGATCCTGGCTGCCACCTCAGTTTGTAGTAGGCCTTCTTCCCCAAGAGTAGTTCCCAGGTACTTGAAGGTGGAGGCGCGCGGTAGCTCCTGCCCGTTCACGTGGATGGAGCCTGTCATTTCATTGTCAGTGGTCAGGTATTCGGACTTCTTTAGGTTCAGCCGGAGCCCGAACTGCTCGAGGCGGTCGTGCCACTGTTGGACTCGGTGCTCGAGTTCAGCCTTGCACAGGTTGGCCAGGAACACATCATCGGCGTAGAGCAGCGTCCATGGGGCAGGCGTGTACAGGTCGTGTGTAATTGTGTCCATCACCAGAATGAACAGCAGTGGTGAGAGAGCAGAGCCCTGGTGTACGCCGACGGTAATATTAAACTCCTCTGATATCCCAGCTGCCGCTTTTACACGGCTTTTGTGACATCTGTATAGGAGTTGGACCCATTGTACGAGCAGCTCAGGCACGCCGTGATCTCGCAGTGCGTACCAGATGAGATCGTGCGGGACTCGGTCGAAGGCCTTTTCCAAGTCTAGGAAGGCGGTGTGGAGCGGGATTTTCTTCTCTCTGTGAGCCTCCATCAGCATCCGCACACCGAAGATGGCGTCGGTGGTGCCGCAGTTCTTGATGAATCCAGCCTGGTTGACGCTGATGTCGACGATGTCCCGAATGCGCTTATCAAGGACGCGTTCAAAGATCTTCATAGTGTGTGACAGTAACCTGACCGGTCTGTAGTTGGAGCAGTCCGCTGGGCTGCCCTTTCCCTTCCAGATCGGAACAGTGGTGCTGCGGTACCAGTCGTGTGGCACTTTTCCCGTGGAGACGATGTTGTTGAACAGCTCGCACAGCCACAATGCCGAGCCCGGTAGTGCCTTTTTCCAGAAGTCGGCAGGGATGTCGTCTGGTCCTGTTGCCTTACCGTTTTTCATGGCCTTGATGGCGTCGGCGACCTCGCTGGCATAAATGCCTGAGACTGGGCCTTCAACTGGGTCACCTCGCGGGGTTCGTGGGTGTGGGAACTCCTCGGTGGAGATCTTCTCGAAGTATTGCCGCCACCTCTCCGCAGCGTCTCTGGGGTTGACGATCAAATTTCCCCTTTCGTCGTTGATCCCATGAAACTGGTCAATGTCCAGGGTCTTCCTGTGTCTGCTTTTGGCTAGGCGGTAGATCTCGTTCTCGCCTTCTCGCGTGTTCAGCTTCTCGTAGATGTCATCGTAGTGGGAGCTTCTGGCTGTCGCTACTGCTTTCTTGGCTGCCTTTTTGGCCGCCTTGTATTCGCAGAGCTTCTCGCTGGTCTTGTCCTGAAGAAAGGCCTTGTAGAGCCGTTTCTTCAGGTGTACGGCATCTTGTACTTCCGGTGTCCAGAGCCATGTATCTCGTTCGATGCGTCTCCGTCCTGGCTTGGTGCAACCAAGCTGTTGGCAGCCGGCAGTGTGAACAGTGCTCTTCAGCATGGACCACGCTTCCTGTGGCCCGTCGACCATCTGCAGGAACTGCTCCGGTTTGATGAGGGGTCCCGCCATCTTCTTCTGGTTCCACCACTTGATTCGTGGCTGGTCTGCATTCCTTTTGTCAATCCTGGTCTTGGGCTTGCTGATCCTGATCTTCGCCATCAGCGGCCTGTGCTGACTGCTCGATTCGTACGGGTACACCTTGGCGTTGAGCACGTTTTTAGCGGCTCTTCGTCGTACGATGATGTAGTCGATCTGTGTGTGGTGGCTCCCGTTTCTGCTATGGTAGGTGAGGAGTTGAGATTCTCGCCTAATGAAGCAGGTATTCGTGATGGTCATATCATGGGAGTCGGCAAAGTCCAGGATCCTCTGGCCATTCTCATTCGTATCGCCTGTGCCGTGCCCACCGTGGCACTGGTGTCCGTTTTTGTCCCGCCCTACATGACCATTCAGGTCGCCCGAGATGATGATGTCGTCTTCGTGTGGGATCTGCCTGAGTTGGCTGTCGAGCAGTTCCCAGAAGGTATCCTTCTCCTCCTCGTGACATCCGGTCTGAGGGGCGTAGGCGGACAAGATGTGTAGGCGCTGCCTCTCGGTCGCTACGACGATTATCATCAGTCGTTCTGTGAGGCGCTTAACTTCTGCGACGGAACTTTGCCAGCTTGGACTGACAACCACAGCTACACCGCCGCGGTTTTCCTTACAGCTGGTGTATATGATCTTGTAGCCGTCTATAGTCGTAGCCTTGTTGCCCTTCCAGCGAGTTTCCTGGAGGCAGCAGATGTCCAGCTTCCTGTCCCGCATGGCCCTGACGATCTCGGTCGAGCGTCCAGTCAGCGAATCCACGTTCCAGGTGGCCACCTTGAGCATCTGGCAGTCCTCTGTTCCCCGCTTGCGTTTTTTCACACGGATCGGGTAGTCTCCGTGCGCATCGGACCCGGACGCAGTCGCCCCGAACGCGGTAGCATTGGACGTGTGTTTTGTAGTGGACGTTTCCACCATGTTGATGCGGCATTTGAGTACTCCAGCCGGCCTGTCGCGTGGGCCTGTCGTCGGAGGGTCTGCTCTCAGTTACGGTTAGCGTTTGACGGCTTCGCGCATCCAGGGGACACCACTTGGAGGTGGCAGACCGCTCGTCCCCCGCAGTCAAATCTAATCAATTAAATGTTAAGTATGTCTTTGTATAATGTACCTGAAGTAAGATAGTTTGAGTGTAGTCATTATTGCCTAAAGTTATTGTATAAAAGTCCAACTTTCACTTTGGTAGACTGTATTGCTATCTTTATTTTCATATACATGTGTGTATGTGTGCGCATATTTTTATACACACACACACAATCAGGGCTGCAAAAAAGTTCCGCAGAAAATCTTTGCTGGCAGGAGAGATATATGAACGAAGGTGACAGCGAGAGGATAGTGCAATATACACATATACACAATATACACAATATACACATACAATATACATTCATTCCGCTGTGTATAGATAAAACCAATACAAATATAAGAAAATAAAATGGTACAAATAATAATAACTCTTTATTGATTATCCCTTGGGCCATATCAAAATGCAAAGTTCCAGCAACAGTTTGTTACTAAAATTTAATAAAAGCAAATCAAAATGAAATTGGATAAACACATCCATTCATTCATTCGTCTATGTTCAACCTCGGTCTCTCGGAGACACGCCCACTCACCCCGCCTCCTCCCGAAACCCCAGCCTATAGAAAACAACTTTGGGAAGAAGGCGGACCAACCGCGCTCTCCAAGTTAGCGCAGGCGTATAGACCCAATCCGAAAAAAAAAATTGTATGTGTAAAATGCTTTTCCATCGCGCCCGCCCTCACTCCGCCCCGCCTTTCGCTCCGCCCTTCTCTCCCCCCCTCCCCCGCCTCCAGCGTGCGTTTTAAGCGCGCGCGCGCCGGCTCCATGCGTTTGTATCTTTGATTTCGCCCCGGCCTCGCAAAGATTCTTCTGCAGACGCGGACGGGCTCTTTTTTTTTTTTTTTAAATTAAGAATAAAGCCTTGGGAGGGCTCCGTGTCCACGCGCCTGCGCAGTGGCCAGGACCGGTGGAGGGTCAGTATCGGGGGAGAGGAATTTGGGCGCGGGGGAGGGGGAGGGCTTTCCTGGGCCTGGCCCGGGAGGAGGGGGAGGCTCTCGGGCAGCAGCTGTCAAACGCCAGACCCGCCCTGCTTCGTGCTGGGATAACAGTAGCTGCACCGGGGCTGGCCCTTGACACGGCTACAAGAAGCGGGGTGGGGGGGCTCTTTTTCCTCCCCTTCCCCTCCTCGGACAACAAAGCCCAGAGTTCCCGGCTGCCTGCGCGGGGATGAGTCCGATCTTCTGGGCGGAGGGCGGGTGGGTGATAAAGCGGCTGCCCTCGCTTGCCTTTCGGGGGTCTCCCCCGATCCTTTTGGGCGACCCCGTTTGCCACGTGGACGGAGGAGGGGTGGCGGCTGCAGACGAGCGGTTTGCCCGGGTCTTTTGCTCGGGTTCTCACGGTGTGCAGCAAGACGTGCAGGCGGGTTTGTTGGGTAAACTGGGTGCAACTGGTCGTGGGAAAGCAGCCCTGGAGAAGTCAGCGGAGGCTCTTGAAAAAGCTCCAGGAGGTTTTGCACTGGTGGCCCTAAATGCGGGGCTGCATTATGGCAGCATCTGGACACCCTCCATGCCTGCTATCTCCTAGTCCAGCTCTTCTGTCACTCGTTGGCCATCTTTCCTTTCTCTTAGCTGGCTTAGGACAGTCTTTCTTAAACTCTGGTCTCTCAAGACGCCTTCCTTCCTACTTTTAAGATGTACGTGTGTATGTATGTCTCTCCTCTCTCCCATCTACTTCAGCTCTCTCTCATCTCTATCTCTACCCCTCTCTACCTCTATTTGTGTATGTGTGTATGCTCAAATCAAAAGGTCTGTGGAGATTCTCCATCATCCAGGGCATGGTTGTCCCAAAGGTGCTTTTTTCAAGAAGCAACTGGACTTTTCTGGTTTTTCTTTGAAGACTTCTGACCACCCTCCAGTCAGAGCTGAAGAAGTTTCTTGGATGAGAAGTGAAACGTCTTCAAAGAAAAACCAGAAAGTCCAGTTGCCTCCTGAAAAAAGCACCTTTGGATGCTCAAGTCAAAAGGTTGACTCTTTGGCAAATGCCATCCCTGCGGTTTTCGTGACAGATGTTCAGAAGGGCTTTGCCATTGCTTGCTTCCTGGAGCTGAGTAAGACCCGCTGGCCCAAGATCCCCCCACCCCCGCTGGCTTAATGCCTAAAGCAGGATTGGAACTCCCAGCCTTTGCAATTTCTATCCCAGTGTCTTAAGCACTACACCAAATTGGGAGTTTAAAAATGTATTTTTAGGGTGTTTTGATTTTGCAGACCTGAGAGGGTGTTGGGGACTCCCAGAGGTCCTCAGATCACATTTTTTTAAAAACTGGCTGAGGAGGATAACATTGGGTGAGGGAAAAACACCATGAAATCAGCAATGTGAAAATTAGCATCAATTAAATGTAATGCATTTAATTATGCTCAGTCTTTCTCTTGTGTCTTTTTATTCATCTCCCCACCCGCAAATTGCAACCTTGGTTTTTAGTGAAATAGTCTATCTTATATTCAGACTCTTATTTCCAAATTCCTTTGTGGTTCCCAGTTGGTAATTAACTGGGTTCTGTTCAGCAATGACCTGAAATATCTCTCTTATTTCTAATAATTGTAATGGTTTGGTTGTTCAACAACAACAAAGCCCAGTCCAGGAGCTTTCATCTTGTCCTTTAAAAAAAATATTGTTATACAAAATGGAGGATAAATCTCTCAAAATAGCACAGAATGGGATCGTATTTGGTGTGAAGAAAAACTTGAGAGAAGAAAGACTTGAGTTTTAAAAAACGGACCACATTCATCTGGGACTTTGTGTGTGTGTGTGTGGGGGGGGATAAAAATGCTCTCTGCTTTTCCCATTGCATCCCAATGGGAGAGGCAGGGAAGCAGTGACTCAGGTTGTCATCACTGTTCCATTCTAAGGCTTCCCTTCTCCCTCTAGGCCACATGAGGCAAAGTGAAGCACATGCTGCCCACCCCATGCCTCCCAGGGCACGCATGTTTGCATAGTTATTGCTCCAGAAGAAGCTGTTGTTTGGCAGCCCTGTTAAGTTAGGGAGTAACAGACTGAAAAGTAGTGGAGATTTCAAGACTCAGGTTCGTCTGGTTCACCAGGTTACTTGCAATCGCATTCTTTGTCACCAACTCTGCCTGAAGGTGCCTTTATGTTGAGTCATGCAAACATCTGGGAAATTCTAGAACATCTTCTTTTGGCAGGTCTTACCTTCTACATCCCCTCTGATTTTTAATGGCAGCATTCCTGTTTATTGAATTATTATATTGTTTTACTAAATCTTCATCCCTCTCACTTCTGATCTAAAAATTTTCTCTTCTCTTTTCCTGGCTATGCTTGGCAACAGTCCTTCAGTAACCCTGTTAGTGTGTCCCTCCCCAGCCGAATTGCTGCTTGTGCTTATATGAATTTTCTTTATGTGAGGCCTCTTGCCATGATCAGCATGAAGTAATTGTGCATCTTATATTGCTTTTTCCATGATTTCATTGAGAACATTGTCTTATATCTCTAGAAGATCCTATATTATCTGTTTGTCCATCCAATTTCTACACCACCTATCACATTTGAGCGACTCTAGGTGGTTTATATACCTATAACTGAGGCTTCCTTATTTCAGAATTTTAATCTGAGGCAAAATATTTATTGCTGATGTCTTCTTAATCTTTCTCCTGATCCATTGTGCTCTTGGTTTATTTCAATGTATATAATGGGCCCATCTTGTGTTCTTTTGTGGAATAAAAAGATATAAAATGAATTAGCAAATTGCTCCCATTTTCACTCTGTTCTTTAGTCTCATATTGATCTGGGAACCCGTGCATTTTGATGTCTCATGATCCTTTTAATAAAACATTGTTTTTCAACTTTGGTAGCTTTAAGATGTGTGTCAAGGTTGAAACACACTGTTTTAAAGAAAATGAAGGATTGTAAATTGAACAATTTGCTCAAGTCTTTAGTTGTTCTGACCTCTGTCAAAGTGAGCAACTTGGTTATGTATTGTAGAGGCCACGAAGGGTAAAGGTACATTTGTTACTAATTCCTTAAAAGTGCTAGTTTATGGGGAGAAGCAATAGTGAAAAGTGAGTCTGATTTTCATTAGTATCTTATTTATGAACTGGGAGCATGGTGCTTTATTAAACAGTACTGCATATATAGACAAAGTAGCTTGCAAAACATAAAGACAAGTGCAAAACAAGGTTAAAGTGAAAAGTTAGATGGAAAACAAATGGACAGACAAAATCAATAGCAATTTAAAATTGAATTGTGGCTTTAAATCTGCTGGATGTACAATAAATATAACCTTGTTTTATATTAAGAGATACGTATTGGTCAGCAAGACTGATCAAAGCCAAAAATAACAAATCAGTAGCTATATTTTATGAAATGTAACTTTTTTCTTTGTTTAGACATTGAAACAAATGAAGTACATTTTGGTAACAGGTGGTGTCATCTCTGGGATTGGAAAAGGAATCATTGCCAGCAGCGTTGGGACAATCCTCAAATCATGTGGATTACACGTCACTTCCATTAAAATTGACCCTTATATTAACATTGATGCAGGCACATTCTCTCCTTATGAGCACGGTAAGACAAGGTGAAAACGTCTTCTTAATGTAGCAGCAAGGACTGAGTATCTCCACATTCTAATTTTGAAGGTACATTTTGCAGAGTAGAGTAGAGCATAACAGTTGGAAGCATAACTTCCTGCTCAAGCAAGAGACCCTATACCAGGGGTCTTCAAACTTGACAGCTTTAAGACTTCAACTCCCAGAATTCCGCCTCCAGTTATGTTAGCTCAGGAATTCTGGGAGTTGAAGTCCACAAGTCTTAAACTTGTGCCAAGTTTGAAGACCCTTGCCCTATACCATTTCTGACAGATGATAGTCCAGTCTCTTATTTCTCTACTTAAAAAAAAAACACCAAATACAGTATAGAGGGTCCAATCTGTGTATTGGGCTACTTAAATTATTTATATTTATAATGTTTGCTTTTGTGTTTCTAATTTTATTTTCTTGAACCTCAGCTCCTCTCCTAGATGGGTAGAAAATGGGCAGCCATATACATGGCTTGAATGTGGACTTCAGTCCGTTGAAGTCCACTCATCTTAAAGATGCCAAGAGTGAGAAACACTGCTGTAGATTGTTCAGGCAACAAAAGTGACAGGCAGCAGAGTCCTTGGTGGGGTTGGGTCTACAGTGGGAAACATGTTGATTATCCTTCAGAAGGCTGTACAGTAGGTCCTAGGATGTCCAGCTACCCTTACCATTGCTAACCAACTGGGAATATGCTAGATGTTTTGGAGCAGGGGTCTCCAACAGTGGCAACTTTAAGACTTGTGGACTTCAACTCCAAGAGTTCCTCAGCCAGCAAAGCTGGCTGAGGAACTCTGGGAGTTGAAGTCCACGAGTCTTAAAGTTGCCAAGGTTGGAGACCCCTGTTTTGGAGGATGCTTTCAGTACACAAACATGGCTATATGGAAGAAGGTGACGAAAAGCTTACCTGTGGTTGCCATTTTGTTTTAGGGGAGGTCTTTGTGTTGGATGATGGAGGAGAAGTGGATTTGGATCTGGGTAACTATGAACGGTTTCTTGATATCCGACTCACAAAGGACAATAACCTGACCACAGGAAAAATATACCAATATGTCATCAACAAGGAAAGGAAGGGAGACTACTTAGGTAAAACTGTGCAAGGTAAAGTATTAAACATGGATTCATTTTCCTTTGACTGCTGCCTTTGGCTGGAGACTTTGTTGAATTTCAACCATAAAGATCATGGCTACTAGTTTATGTTCTGTAGCTACTGTCTCTCCTGGTTGTTTTTATAACCTGGAGATGAGAAATTTGGGCACTTTGAGACACAATTGAAAACATTATTTAAAAAACATTTTTTTTCCAGTACTATAAATAAATAAAGAAGAGAGTAATTGTTAGAGCAATTCAATGATGTTTTTAGGAGTGGTTAAAAAAAAGAAGATATCAGCCATGGTGAAACAAAGCTTCACAGTGATCAATGCTTCATAATTTTTTATGTGTGTCATGTACATGGAGCTTCGATTGCATTGTTCAAGTCGCCATCTTGACTTTTTTGACCTTACTCTGCTGGCATCCCTGGAACACCTAACACTATTCTAGTTGTATTTGCATGTTGCTGTAAGCCAGAACAGTGGAGAGTTTGGGATTTTCACTCAGGAACATGTTCACAAGAATGCAGTCACGCTAGCCAACAGGAATGATAAGGTATCCAGTAACCTTATTGGGTAAAATAAAATAGCCAAATTGGTTAGAGTTGGATAGCATCCAGGTTGAATTCATAAAATCAAATCAGCAGAAATTCACCAAGAAATGAATGTTTAGTGTTAATGAGATGATTCTGACTGAGCATGTAGCCAGAAATTATTGAAACATTATCTTTTTTAAAAATGTTTTTACAGTTGTGCCCCACATTACTGATGCCATCCAGGAGTGGGTGATGAGACAGGCACGGATCCCAGTAGATGAAGATGGCATGGAGCCCCAAGTCTGTGTGATAGAGGTTGGTGTCCATGACCTTCTATGTCTCCTGCCAGGATTTCACCTGTAAGATATTGGTTGATGATTACTACCTGGATGTTTTTAAAGATGCTTTACAGTTATTACCATTACAATACTTTATGGTCATTAATCAGTACAAGAAAATTAATATGCAAATATTCAAAATATCCAAAGGTAAATTGATAATGTCTGGATGGCTGAGGGCAATATGTAAACCACTTAGAGAGGGCTGTAAACCACTATGAAGTGGTACATAAGTCCAAGTGCTGCTGTTACAGTTAAGAAAAGTACACGAAGGGATTTGGCTGAAATATTGCTAAACTTGAATATGGTAAAAGGAGATGTGGGGGACGGGATTTGTGCTTTTAAGAAAAGAGCATTGCATTTAATTTTAGATGTCTGTATTTTAGCTCGGAGGAAATATTGCTAAACTTGAATATGGTAAAAGGAGATGTGGGGGACGGGATTTGTGCTTTTAAGAAAAGAGCATTGCATTTAATTTTAGATGTCTGTATTTTAGCTCGGAGGAACGGTGGGAGATATTGAAAGCATGCCTTTCATTGAAGCATTCCGCCAATTTCAATTCAAAGTCAAGCGCGAGAACTTCTGTAATATTCACGTCAGCCTAGTTCCCCAGGTAAGATTCCACAAGGCAGCTCCTTGTAGTGTTGGCCCTAGAGAACCAAGGTAGCTCTTTTTCTAAGGCTCTGGGGTTAGGACATCCAAAGGGTTGGGAATTGTTTTTCCTCTTGTTTATTCTGTTTTTAACCGTATGAAGCTGTTTGTGGAATTGGCTGGCCTAGAAACTAGACAAATAAACAAATGAATAAACAGATTGCAGGAATGACCTGAGGGTTTTCAAAGAGATTGGAAAATGAATCTGATCTTAATTTGACACACTGTCTTCTTGTTTATATTTCTTGGCCTGGGTCTATTAGCCAAGTTCTACAGGGGAGCAGAAGACAAAACCTACTCAGAATAGTGTTCGTGAACTTCGGGGCCTGGGTCTATCACCAGATCTAGTAAGTTTTGCTATAATGTATGTTAAAATTACTGGCTGGATTTCAAACTGCTGTCAGGCTGAGGGTGGGAAGATGTTATTCAGCTATTTGAGAAATTGCTATGAAAGAGATAATAATCTGTTCACAGTTGAGAAAGTACAATGTGGTTAATTGTTCTTCAGTGAGCTAACCAAATTCTGTTTGAAGGCTAGATTTAATCCTTGGACAAATCTTTTGAAGATTTCACTATTTTCTTTACTAGATTGTGTGTAGATGTTCCACGCCCCTGGATACCTCAGTGAAAGAGAAAATTTCCATGTTTTGTCATGTAGAACCAGAACAGGTAAAGTTGCTTCATGTTAGCAAAGTAACTATATGTGTTTTCTGCAGGCTTTTGATTTCATGTAATAGTTTCTGCATGCACAGAACAGATTAAAGTTACAAACTCCTATGTAACATTAATTATCTAGAAAAAAAAAAGAAATGCACACGGTGGATTTTCAATCATTTATCACCAGATCACGGTGGTGACGAATTGTAAAACAGGTGTTGAAGCATTGCCTGTAGGCTGCTGGTTGCCTATCTTCCCTTTTCGTCAAAGCTCGGGAGACCCACATCTGGGTCAAATCAGAGAGTTCGGTGTAGCAGATTTTATGTATGTAAGCCCCCTTTTTTCCAGTTAGCTGTGACTTGCAATGCACCTTATTTTGATCTTCTGTTTGCCAGAGCAGCAATTAATTCTGTGCATCGTTATGTGTATTTGCGGATATGGTTCGGATATCTTAGTAATATTTGCTTAACCAAATAATTTGCTTTGCTTCAACAGGTAATCTGTGTCCATGATGTCTCTTCCATCTATCGGGTTCCTCTGTTGCTAGAGGAGCAAGGAGTGGTGGATTATTTTCGACACAGGCTCAACCTTCCCATTGAAAAGCAGCCCCAGAGAATGCTGATGAAATGGAAGGAGATGGCGGACAGGTGAGAGCTTCTTTGGGCAAGCAGTTATTCTGGTTACTTTCAAGCAATACAATAAAATAAACCTTTAAACCTAACACAACAAAGCACCATGGCTGTGCAGTTCGATATGCTAAAAGAAAGCATATTATTTGCTTGCAGTGATGGCCTGGTTACCCCAACCAGCTAAGACAACCACTGGACTCTCACAACAATGAACCATACAGCGCCCAAACTTAGATTGCCATAGTGTTGACCGCACCACTTCAGACCACAGATGAAAAGGAATTCTCTATTATAATGGTGCAGCCATGGTGGTGCAGTGGTTAGAATGCAGTATTGCAGGCTGACTCAGCTTACTGCCAGAAGTTCAATGCCTTCAGTCCTGAGTGGCTCAAGGTTGACTCAGCCTTCCATCCTTCTGAGGTCCATAAAATGAGAACCCAGATTGTTGGGGGAATAAGCTGGCTCTATAAACCGCTTAGAGAGGGCTGTAAAGCACTGAAGTGGTATATAAATGCTATTGCTATTTTTAAAAAGGATCTTTTGGAGAGAGATGCTGGACTAGTACTGTATTTTTGTTAGGAATATGAGTCACCTAACAGGTATTTGGGTTAGAAATATATAAACCAGGATAGACATTTTAATACCGTCTCTTTAAGAGCATGCTAAAAAATGCAATTGGGTGTGGTTACTCAAACGGCCATAAGATGGAGCCAGAAACCTGGGTTGTCTTAGTCTTAGTCTCAGAAGAGAGTGTGTCTGAGTGAGTCTCTCTTTCCTTCTGTTGGAAAGTATTGCCGTTCCTCCATTTTTCCTAATTGACTGATATTTCTGGATTTAATGTAAGTCTGATACTGAACTTTTTTTTTTCACACTGGACTTTGATATTTGGATTATCCCTGGATTGAAAAACTGACTGATCTACCTGTGAATGACTTTCGGACTGCTTATCTTGAACTTTGCTTAAACTGTCTGGAAGTAAAAACCTACATTTACTGTACAGTGTATCTGTGTGCTGTATGTGTATTATTCAAACACTACTCTCAAATACGTCTCCCTGTATGCGCTCATTCTCCTAACAGGGAATTACCTCAACAGTTTTCCCCGAAAATAAGACCCTGTCTTTTTTTTTTGCCACAAAAAAGGCACCAGGTCTTAATTTTGGGGTGGGATGTTGTCCACAGATTCACTTCATTTGCATATGTTGCCCCCGGCTTCCTTTTCTCTGTCAGAGGCCTTCAGGAACTTCTGTGGCTGGCAAGGCTTTCCGGAAGATCTCTGCAGCTGATAACAGCTCCGGATTGATCCAAGCTCTGTTATTGGCTGCAGAGGCTTTAGGAAAATCTTGCCAGCTGCAGAAGAAATGGCTGTCAAGGCAGGTGTCAGAGTGTATGAGGCCTGGCTCCAATGCTCCGAAGGTAAGTAGTAGGGCAGCTCCAACCCCTATCCCCATCCTAGCTTAATTTTTACCCGTGCACCCTGGAGTGGGTGGGGTCTTAATTAGGGCTTATTTTGGAGGTAGGGCTTATACTGGGTGCACATATAAAAATCAAGCCAGGACTTAACTTTCGGGAGAGGTCGTATTTTCCGGGAAACGGGATATCTCCTGACTTGTAGACCCAATTCGTTCAGCTTGGTTCTGCTAAGCTAAGTTTTAGTTTGCAGAACGTCTTTAAGGAAGCCACCTCTGCATCCAAGTGCCTAGTGTACCTTTTTAGATGTTACAGTCTACTTGCTTTGGACAGAGAGATGGGGCGGCATATAAATTTAACAATAAATTTAGCAATGTTAATAATTTGCATTTTGTCCAATTTATTGAATGTGTGGGCTGGGCTTAAGTGGATTTTGATGGGGTGGTAATGGTGATAGTGCTTTGAGTTGGAATTGAGTCCTGGCAGCTACGTGGACAAGCTTTTGTCATTTTTTAGGTAGCAGTTTCAGAAAGGGTTGCTCTGGCCTTCTTCTTAGGGTTGCGAGTCAGTCACCCAGCTAGTTTTTGTGCCTATCCATGTTTCCCTGTTTCTGGTCTGGCATATTAACCACTAAACTGTCTTGTAAGATGATAATGTTAATATTGGCTTTCTCATTCCATACTTTCGATATTCACTTTTTAAAGACGTGGTTTTGGTTTTTTGCACAGATATGATCGCTTATTGGAAACCTGTTCTATTGCCCTGGTTGGCAAATATACAAAGTTTTCAGATTCATATGCCTCTGTCATTAAAGCCTTGGAACATTCTGCTCTAGCAATCAATCACAAACTCGAGATAAAGGTATGCTTTTTGCACTGACTACCAACAAAACCCGAACTTTCTTGCTTGGTTTAGTTTGAAACTTAAAGTCTATGGGTATCTGCTCTAAGTTCATAACTTCTATTGCATCTAAAATGCTACTTCTGGCAAAAATTCTACTATGTTTACCAACAACAACAAAAACCAGCCTGTCTCATATATTCCAGCAATGTTAGAAATTATGGAGCTTATTAACGTGATAACTACGATGCAAGCATTGGTCACAATATGTAGGAAAATCTTTGTGATGTTGATATTGTGTCAGTGCCCTCAATTGGCTACTACTGTACACTTTTCCATAGCTATAATAAACACAATAGGGAAAATGAATCAAAAGACACACTGTACACCAGCATTTCTTAGTGTGATTCAAAGGCTCCTGAGGGTCCTTCATTGAGGGCCGCATCAGGGTTGTGTTTGACCTGGGGGGGGGCGGGCGTAGCCAGCGTGTGTGTGGCCAGCTCGACATCACTCATGTCAGGGGTGCCTGTGGTGGCCTGAGTGCTCGTGGCCCTCTTGAGCTCCCTTTTCACTGGCAAAGGGTGGCAGGAGGGCGTTGCAGCCAAAAACTTAGCTCGGGAGGACTGTGCGTAGCCCTCCCAAGCTGGCCGGCTCCGACTCCTGGGCCTTGAGTTTGACCCTCTTGGATGCACGAAGAACTATTTTCCAGATAGTGGAGATGTACGTAGAAATGGTAGACATATCAGTCTTAGTTTTTTATTTGTTAAAATAGTTTTTTCCTGAAAATGCTTATGTTAATATGTTTAATATTATTTTTACATGATTCAATAAATAAATATTCTATGAATGTGTTAATTTTAATACAGTAGCAATCGACGTAACCCACACAAAAAAATGCTCTTTTGGGGTCCTTCATGATTTTTAAAAGTGAGAAGTGCTCCTGAGAGCGAAAAGTTAGAGATCGACATTGGGAATTTCCTCTGTTCCTCAAAAAAGGACCGAACCCTCTCTAAGAATGTTGATTGCTTTGAAGACATCATGATGATGTGACTATTTAAATGATCTTTTTTTGAAAAAAAAATCATCAGCTTCCTACAGAAATGTTTTTCATTGATTATTGAACTATTTTAAGATGAAAAACCTCCAAGGTCTATAACTTGGAACAGAAGTTTTTTTTTTTTAACTCATAAGGATTAGGGATGAGAATCATTCGGTCAATATTTTGTCAGTTAACAGAGTAATCAAGGCAATGATCAACAAACATTGACATTCAAGGTCTAAAATTAGACGATCTTTCTTTCTTTCTTTCTTTCCAGTATATTGATTCTGCTAATTTGGAACCAGTTACATTACAAGAAGAACCAGTTCGATACCACGAAGCCTGGCAGAAGCTTTGCAGTGCTGAGTAAGGCATTTGTCTTCCTTTCTATTATGAGAAAATGTCTCCTCATTTGATTGAAGCTGTTTTTGTACTTCTCCCAGAGATAACTTCATTTTTATTGTTGAGACAGTGTTTAAATACCTTCCTTTTATGAGCCAGGCCTTGATGTCTGTTTCTGAACAACAGGATGAAGTATATCACAAACAAGTTTATAATGCGGGCTCTAATTCCAGGTGGTTTGGAATTTTATTTAACATATGGGGTGACATATAGCAAGCTCCTTTAACTGTTTTGTTTTGTTTATAAATGTCATTATAAATAAATGCCATGGAGAAGTTCTCTGTTCACAAATCACATGCTGCAGATTGCCTCTGAGTGATGGTCATATGATTCTGCCACAGAATGGACAAATGGTATCCCGAGACTCTTGATACGGGTGGCAGGGGCTCTCTAAAACTCAAATATCAATAGCACTTAGGCTTATATACCACTTCACCGTGCATTTACAGCCCTCGCTAAGTGGTTTTACAGAGTCAGCCTATGGTCCCCAACAACGTGGGTCCTCATTATACCCACCTCGGAAGGATGGAAGGCTGAGTCAACCTTAAGCCTGGTGAGATTTGATCTGCCAAATTGCAGGCAGCCGGCAGTCAGCAGAAGTAACTTGCAATACTGCATTCTAACCACTGCGCCACCGTGGCTCTTAGTTGTTTTCCTAGAGGTTTCGAGAGGTTGAACTTTGGACAATCAACATTCAATAGAGGGGTGTTACTATCATCTTTCAAATGTCAGGTGCAAATTCCTGCTTGGCTGAAACATCTTCATTCATGGTGATTTCCATGAAAGTTGTTAAATAAAGCACCATGGCTGTGGTTTATAAACAACATGACTGGGATTGTTTTCACGAAGCCTCCTTAGTTCAAACTAGGCAGAGTGCATTGTGGTGTGTATTTTACTAGGTGAATGCAATTCATTTTCAGAGGACTAGGATAAAATATACTGCAAAAGTGAATGCTCAGGTTTATCCAATAGGCTTCCTCCTTCTTTTGTTTAGTGGAGTCTTGGTTCCAGGTGGTTTTGGTGTTCGAGGCACAGAAGGAAAAATTCAAGCCATTTCTTGGGCAAGAAAGCAGAAGAAACCTTTCCTAGGTGAGAAAATGTGCTTGAATGTTATTTTTTGTATGGAGTAAGTTATAGCAGAACTTTAGTTTACAAGGGGTTGGGTCTATTCTTTGAGAGATCTCTGTGTCCAACAGTTTCTGCCTGTCCAGTAGAACCAGTAGAATTGGGTGCCTTCCGGATCCTTTCTGGATGTCATCTCTTGAGATCTAAGAAGGATGCCTTTTCTGTCACGGCACATGCCTTCTGGAAGAGCATCTCTACAGAGATTCATGTGACTCACCCTTATGATGTTCCCAAAATCTTTAAAGACGTGGCTTTGTTCCCAGGCCTGGGGATAAAGTGGTTGTTGAGTCTGTTGAATGTTCTTTGGCAGGTTGATGTTTTTTCCTCTGCCCACACATGATCTTTTTCTCATAGTTCTTTATTACAGCATAAACTGTTGGTTGGCCTCTAAAGTTACTGCAATCAATTAGATAAATACTGCTTGATTAGATAAATAGCATTCAACTAATTGCTTTGAATGTGAACCAGAATTGAAATGATCCTTTCTGTACCAGCTTGCTTGAAATGATAAGTTAAAGAAATATTGTTCAGTATTATCCCAAGAAACTGTATCTGATGTCTTTGAAATCATGTGTGTCCAGACTGATGCATAATTGTAAGGCCATAAATTATCCCAAAGGTCCTCCTGTATCTGATCTTCAACTGCTCATGTAGAGTCTAATAAAGAAATAATGGGAATTCTGTTGGGTATATGATAATACCAGTGCATATTTTTTAATACATCTCCTGTCTCTGTTTTCTATAGGAGTCTGTCTGGGAATGCAGTTGGCTGTTGTGGAGTTTGCCCGCAATGTCCTTGGCTGGCAAGGTAAAAATGTGGGAAAATAAACATTTGGGCTTCTCTTTAAGAATTCTATTCCTTAAAATCATTTGTAAGACCAGACCTAGAATACTGCATCCAGTTTTGGTCACCAGACAATAAAAAAGATGTTGAGACTCTAGAAGAAGTACAGAGAAGAGCAACCAGGATGATTAGGGGACTGGAGGCTGAAACATATGAAAAACAGTTGCAGGAACTGGGCATGGCTAGTCTAATGAAGAGAAGAACCAGGAGAGACATGATAGCAGTCTTCCAATATCTCAGGGGCTGCCACAGAGAGGAAGGGGTCAAGCTATTTTCTAAAGCACCCGAAGGCCAGACAAGGAATAATGGATGGAAACAGAACAAGGAGAGATTTAACCTGGAAATAAGGAGAAACTTTCTGACAGTGGAAACAATCAACCAATGGAACAGAAGTTGCCCGCAGAAGTTGTGGGAGCGCCATCACTTGAGACTTTCAAGAAGAGACCGGACTGCCATCTGTCAGAAATGGTGTAGGGTCTCTCCTGCTTGGGCAGGGGGTTGGATTAGATGGACCTACAAGGTCCCTTCCAACTCTGATTATCTGTTATCTTTGTGATATAATTGCTGTAAGGTAGCAGTATACTGGGAACATTTAAACCTCAATAAAGCTTTTTATACTCTTTAGGTAATTCTACCTATTTCACTTTACCCAGTTTTTACAAGAGTTTCTAAAGGAATGAGCTTTTAATTTTCTAAATTGTTTGCAAATTAAAATATAAATCTCCATGTTTTTATTGCTTTATTTACTAGCCTAAGTGTAGAGGTCTTAATAAGAAAGCACTTATTTACAACATTCAAACTTAAGTAGTGGATTATTAAAATATACAACATGGTATGTTAATGACTTGGGTAGGACTGCATTGACCATGTTATGTGAAGTGTTTGCTCCAAGTCTTGGGTTACATTGTCATTAATGCAAATTAATGGAAAAGCTGCTTTCTACTGGAAATGTAGATTTTTTCTTAAGATCTGAGACTTTATGTGATCAAAGCCTATCATCCACAGATGCCAACTCTACAGAATTTGACCCCAAAACTACACACCCAGTGGTAAGTGTGATGATACTTTTTTAATCCATTGAGCTTTCTTTTCATGTATACCAAGAATATTTTTCCCTCCCTTCTCACAATTATTTTGAAAGGAAATGTAAAAAATGGCCTAATTAGAATGAATTATAAGAATAATCAGACTTCCCCATAGTGCTACGATTCAATAACTTCTGTTAAAATGTTGTCTGATATTTGAAGTTAGTTGTTTCTCAGAGAATTGCTCTGCCATATTTTTTTTTGTAGATATGAAATTTATTTTATTTAATTTGGAGCCAGTGACTCTCAATTTGACCAATAGGATGTGTGTTTTTACATTTACTTGACTTTCTATTGCTTTAGATACCGTAAAAGTAACCTTTTGCATGTTTGTATATGTGTATATTACATACACATATAATTTTACACATAGGAATGCACTCTAAAACTCACGTTAGACGTGAAAAATATTGTATTAGCAGTTAGAATGGGGTTTAAGCCCTTCTGATGGATAACCAATGCCAGAAACCATTGTTTCGTTTTTAGATACTACTAATCCCATGGAAATGAAACAGCTTACAGATTTTGTTGCATACCTGCATACTTGCTTAACATCCTTAGTTTGTCTTAACTTTTTCTCCATCACATCATACTCTTCGATTTCTCAGGTAATTGACATGCCGGAACACAATCCAGGTCAAATGGGTGGAACCATGAGGCTGGGCAAGAGAAGAACTATCTTCCAAACCAAGAATTCAGTCATGAGTATGCTTTTCTTAGCCTTCCTTTTGTCCCCCCGACTTCCTTCCTTTTGACTCCTGATTGTATTTTGATTAAACAAATGCTGAAGCTGCCTTAAAGTGTGGGAAATTATAGCTACCGTGTTTCTCACAAAATAAGGCCGGGCCTTTTTTTTTTTTGACCAATGAAAAAACGGCTAGACCATCTTTTCGGGGGTGACTTAATTTCCTCCCCCACCTAGAGCGGCCCATATGCACATACCTCGCCACGAGACCGCTTCTATCAGCCAATGAAAGCTCCCTGAAGGCAGAGTCCCCAGCTGCTTCAGGGCGTGGCGTGGCTGCCCATGTCCCCTCGCCTTTAGGCAGTCTCTTTCGGGCGATGGAAGCTCCCCAAATGCAGTCACCAGCCACTTCAATTGGCCGGTAGAAGCGGCCTCGTGGCGAGGGGAATGTGTGTGCGCTTGCCCCGAGGATGCTTCTACCGGCCGATCGAAGTGGCTGGTGACTGCACTTGGGGAGCTTCCATCGCCCGAAAGAGACTGCCTAAAGGCGAGGGGACACGGGCAGCTATGCCACGCCCTGAAGCAGCTGGGGACTCTACCTTCAGGGAGCTTCTATCGGCTATCGGGGTATTCTAGCCTAGGTTACCTGCAGGGCACTCCTAAAGGCAAGTTCCCCCCCCCGCCCTTCTCCCGCCCATTTTTCTTCATCTCGTGTAGTTCTAACGAACGATGTGAGAAATGGCGGGGAAACACATGATTTAAATAGGCCTAAATTTGGAGGTCGGGGCTTAATTTCACCTCATGCCTAGAAATCATGCTGGGCCTTCCTATTGGTGGAGGCCGTATTGTTGGAGAAACGTGGTAGCGGCAGTCCCACTTTCCTAGGCATTTGGGGCAACTTGATGACATTGGTAATAGCTCTACAAAGAAAAAAAAAAGATATACCTCAAACTTTGTATTATAAACTTAGGTATTTGCTAGACCACCTGTGAACCCATGTATCATAGTTTCAGAGATACTTCCTTGCCAGATTCCTCAGTGCTTTCAGCAGCGGCAGAGATTCTAGTGTGTACTTGAAAAGTTCTGTAAAATTCAGGGAAATATTCAGCGATCTGTCTGTCTTGAAAGGCGTCCATGTTGAACAGCATAGCACAGTCAAACATCAGGAGTTGACTACAGGAAATGTTCTATGACATTTAGTATTAGGTCATAAAATGATTTATGATAATGTTTAGGTCACAAAATGTTATATAAACGTGGCCAAATTTCAATTCAGCGGGAGTCATGGATCCTGGATTTTAGATGCATTCTGTAAACTAGCTCATTTGAGGCACTTTGATTCAAAATGTTTTGCCCTACGATGCATTGTTTTGTCAATTAAAGATTACAGATGAAAGTTTTAGTATATGGATAACAGCAAGCTAATGTGATAGCTACTTAGCAATTAAACACATTCACAGAGGAAAAGTCAGTTTGCAGTTGTTAATTGTAACATGAAACTCCAGGTATAGAGAGGGTATATGGCATCACTGAATAACAGCTGCTGTGGTATCACAGGTGGGAAAAGCTATTGTCTTCACACCATTGATGGACTTCTTGATGCCCTGGTTCAGATGAAAAGCTTAGAGATATAGCATATTTGAGAGCCAGTTTTGTCTAATGGTTTAAGGCACCAGGCTAGAAACAAGAGACAGTGAGTTCAAGTCCCGCCTTAGCTATGAAAGCCAACTGAGGTGACTTTGAGCCAACCTATACTCTCTCAGCCCAACTCACCTCACAGGGTTGTTGTAGAAAAATTAAGAAGAAGGTTTGTTGGTTCACTGCCTTGAATTACTTATGAAAACGATAAAGGCGGGATGTAAGCAAATGAATAAATATTAGACTAGAAGATAGGCTCCCGCATTCTTTTTTTTGTTGTATGTTGCTAAGCACAGGAACTGCTTTCCAATAAACTTTTCTGTAAGAAGAAGAAAATCAACATTATACAGGAAAAGGCAAGGGGAAAGTATGGTATTAATAAGTATGCTTCAAATAAGCAAATGGCCATTTATTTTCTCCATCAATAGGAAAACTGTATGGCGATGGTGATTACTTGGAAGAAAGGCACAGGCACAGATTTGAGGTATGGCTACTTGTAGTAGAGAAAAGCAGGGGTGGACCCCTTTTCTCCGAAGCCCAGTTTAAAAAGATGTGGTGTAATCTTCTCTTCATAGGTAAACCCAGAGCTGAAAAACTCATTTGAGGAGAAAGGTATGAAGTTTGTGGGCCAGGATGTGGAAGGAGAGCGAATGGAAGTGGTTGAGTTGGAAGGTGAGCACTGATCTGTCACAAGAAGGTTGCTATTGTTAATTGTGGAAAAGTTTTAGGGGTGTCTCTTGAGATTTGTGGAAGTGATCTTTCCTTAGATTAAAAAAAAACCTGAGCATTGCTATATTAGTCCTTTAAAAAATGAATTTCAGCGATGGCTAACGTGAGGTCCTTGGTGCTCTCTGAGCTTGGTTTTCTTGTTGACATTTCATTACCAAACTGGGTAACACCAGTCTGCAAAAGAAAAAAACGTCTCCAACCAAGCTCAGAGAGTGCCAAGGACCCCACAGTTCAACCCTGAGTATAAATATTCTCTTCCATGGCTACATACCGGTAGTTTTTTTATAGGATATTCATGCAGCCTTATGAATAGTTTTGGCCATTAAGCTAATTAAAGCATGCCTTATTTTCTCCTCTAGAGCATCCCTTTTTTGTGGGAGTTCAGTATCACCCAGAATTCCTATCCAGACCCATAAAACCGTCTCCTCCTTACTTTGGCCTCCTCCTGGCTTCTGCAGGAAGACTCTCACATTATCTCCAGAAAGGTTGCAGACTCTCTCCCAGGTAAGTCCAGCCTGCCGTACACCTTTGGAACGTGCTTTGGGAGTGTGCGAGCTCAAGGTTTACACCCACCTTTCACTGTAGCCTTCACGATACACCCTTTCCCCTTGCACCTGGGCTAAAATATTAATGGTGCACCGTGAGGAAAGTAAGTACACGATCAAGGCCTCCATGCCCTGACTGCGTCTGGTTTGATTCTCTCTGAAAGATACCTTAGTCTTTTAAAGATAAATCAGTCTTTTTCGGTGGTCATCAAAGATGGTATGTTGATTATATATTTGGGAAGATTTAGGGCGCCGGTTCATGGTTAAAGGAAGGTCACTTCTTTGATTATCCCTCTACTTTTTTTTTCATTGCCGCTAACAAAAAGCTTGGATCTCTCTCTGTTCCCAAGTCAGTTCTGGTCCTGTAAATTTGGCAAAGGATGAAAGTTATGACAAACCAGAAACGGCTTCTTTGTCAAATTATATTAGAAAGGTTAAAGGAGGAAGAAAACTCCTCTCTCTTTCCCTCCCTCCCTCTTTCTCCCTCTCCTTCCTTTCTTCTTCCCCCACCCCTTCCTCCCTTTCTCTCTCTTCTTCTCCCCTGTCCCTCCCTCTCCCTCCTCTCTCTCCCCATCTCTC